ACTTTTAGCCCAACTTGAGCAATTTAGCAATTTAGAAACTGTTTCAAATGAAAGGAGGCCTTACCCTCCAATGTACTTGAGAGTGCCTCAAGATGCATGTATAAAATCTTCTCATCTGTACACGGTAGAATAAAACAACAAATAAAGACTTGGTAGTGTAGTTTAGTGGTAGAGTTCTTATTTAGCATGTATCCTGAGTTGAAACACCACACACACACACACACACACACACATACAGTGTTTCACGAAGTTGTCCTGGCTGTCCTCTAACTTGTGTTCCTCCTGCTTTAGCTTTCCCCTGTCCCTACTACCTGGGATTAGATGCATGTGCCACAGCATCCAGTTTGACAAATTCTTACTGGTATATCAGGATGACTTGATTGTATTCTACCTTACTGTTGTGGTTCATACATTGTGTCAACTTGTGGAGTCTAAGGCTTTGGCTAAGTGATTCAGCAGGGAGTCAGGGTGCTTACTCTGTATTCATCCGAGCCTGTGCAAGAGGAGGGCACGGAGAGTGTGTGAGTGCTACACACCCCCTCGGTGGGGTAGCCTGCTTACAGTATAAGGGAGGAAAAGAGACTTACTCCTCTCTGCCAGTCCTCCCTTTTGCTCTTGTTGCTTTTCTGTTTTATGCTGCCATGAACATTTGCCCTCTGCCATGTGCCACTCTGCCTTGGAGCCAGCCAAGTATCAACTGAAACCTCCACAAACTGTAAGCTAAATAAACCTTTCCTTCCTTAATTTTGGGTGTTGGGTGTTTTGTCTCAGCAACAAGAGAAAAGTAACCAAGACATCACTATTAAGAAAAATACAGGAAGCCAAAGAAGTACTTTAGAATGGTGCTTTCATTTATCTCATATTACCAACCAAAGGTTCTTGATAATGGGAAGCAAATGTAAAAAGATAAGCACCGCTTTTAAGGCACAGCTACTTATTTTTCAGTATGGGCAGAGTCATGTCTGTCATATAAAACCAGAATCAGTAGATTAAGGAGAAAATTAATACTACTGTGACAAGGAAATTGAGAAGAAATCTTGCCACATATGTCACATTTGTAGAAGGGGTAACCTGGAGCTAAAAAGCCTACCGTTTTTGTCCCTTATCCATCAGACCCACAGCTCCTTTCTCTCTCTCTTTCTCTCTCTCTCTCTCTCTCTCTCTCTCTCTCTCTCTGGCTCTCTCTCTCTGGCTGTCTGTCTTTTTCTGTCTCCTGACTGTGTCTCTCTGTCTCTTTCTCACTCTCTCTCTCTCTCTCTTTCTCTCTCTCTCTCCCTCCTTTCTAGTTCTGGAACAAGATGACATTTGTAATACATAAGAAGGATCTTGTGTCTGGGATCCTGTTACCCTGTGAATACGTGCCCCCATGGTAATAAGGCAAGGATATCAAATTGAAGCACGAGAGTTTCCTGTTCATGAAACTAGATGTAGATCACAAGAGAAATAGTAGAGAATGTTCTGGAGATTTTTCCAACCAGGCAATGAGACCATCTCTGTATTAGACATAGTGAACTTTTATGCCCCTTGAGCAACTAGGGAAAAAAAGCTAGTCACAGATTCTGATCCTTCAATATTTAGGAACAATTAATTTAATTCTTAAAGAAGTACTACACTAAAGCCTCCATCAGGGATCATTGTGTACTTATTCTGGGGAAAATACAGGGGAAATGGCTCACCTTGTCAGAGATGATGAGCAGCTCTCTCATATCATGAGAGGCATAATGTCAAGTCTCCTCACTACATTCCTAAATCTTAAATATGTAACAATAAAAAACAAACACAAAGAAGAAAGCACACATCATTTTAACATTGTAATAATACAGACATAGTGTACAGGACTTAAAAAGAATACAATAGTCGCCTGTTTGAGTCTACTGGATCCTAATATCCCCTTCCCAGAATTTACAATTTATAATATTTTATTTTACTTCTTATGATTATTTCTATATACAGTACAATGTAGCACTTACACTGGGGGTGGTGGCATACACATGAAATCCCAGCACTCAGGAGATTCAAGCAGGAGGATTCCAGTGAGTTCCAGGCCAAGGTAGGCTACATAATGAGTTCAAAGTTATCCTAAACTCTGTAACAAGAACTTGTCTCCCAAAAAAAAGGAATAAAATACCATAGAAAACATTGCACTGCTTAACAAATGTTCAAATTGATGTTCCTTTATTATACCCATCATTTTTCTAAATGCCGTGTTTTCATTTTGCTTTCTTAACAGATTTTTTGGTGTCTTTCTTCTTTTAGAGACTGCTTTTGACTTTATTAGCAAGAAAAAAATTCTTCTTCAAAATATTTCTATTTTCTTTAAATTCCTATTCATTTTTGTTTGAATACACTCCAATGCTTTCTTTTTCTTCTTTATTTTTTACTTTGAAATACTTACACATTTGCAGGAAGTGGTAAAGATAAAACCAAGAGTTCCCATGTACCGTTTATCCAGATTTCCCCAATGGCTTTATCTTATACAATTATAGAACAATATCCAACCAAGAATTTGTTATTGGTGCAAAATGTATGCATAATTCTATCTAACTATCACTCGTAGATTCCTGTAACCACCACCATAATCAAGATAGAACCCTCCTATCATCACAAAGATCTTCCTTCTGGAGCCCCTTCATAATCATCTACTCCTGACCACCACACCAAACCACTGCCCATTACCAATCTTTCCATCTATATGATTCTTAATGTAAAAAATGTTATACAAATGGAATCATGCAGTATTCAATCTCTTGAGTTTGGAGTTTTCACTGAGGATAATGCCTTTCAGATATATCCCAGTTGTTGCATGTTATGGTTTGGAAGTGTCTTCCCACCCTCACCCCAAAGCTCATATACAATAAGCTTGGTCACCAGCTTGTGGTACAACTGGAAGGTGATGGGATCTTTTAGAGTTGGAGCACAGTTAAAGGATGTAAGGTCCTTAGGCTGTGCTGTTATAGGGGACACTGAGACCCTGACCCCTTCTTATCTCTTTCTCTTTGCTCCTGGCAGCCATGGAGTGAGCAGGTTGTTGTAGCAGCTGCTGCTCATGATAATGTGTTGCCTCGTCACAGGCTCAAACCAACTGGCCGTGGGCTGACACCTCTGAAATTGTGAGCCAAAAAAAATTTCCTCTCGCTAAATTGATCATCTCAGGTATTTTGTTATAGTAAGGGAAAGCTGGCTCACTTGCTCAACTTGCAATGTTGTTTTTTTGTTGTTTTCTTTGTGGTAGTAGGGATTGAACCAGGGGCCTTCACGCTGAGCTGCATTACCAGCCTGTTTAAAATTTTTGTTTTAAACAATTTCACTGAGCCACTAAATTGTATAGTTGGGGTTTGAACTTGTGATCCTAACCTGCTGGGGTGCTGGGATTACAGGCGTGTACCACTGTGTCCAGCTCATTTTATGATGTTTTGAGAAATTCCTGTTCCTTTCCAGCATGTGTGAGTTTCAAGTTAGGTAAAGACAAATGACCAGGCCTTCAGCTATCCTCACACAGAGAGCATAGAGACATGCAGTTCTTTGCAAGTAAGTTCTCCTCTGCTGCCTGTAAGCCACACAGAACCCAGACTACTATGATCCAAGACCCCTCCTAGCTGGGGAGGTTACCTGAGGGAGGTAAAAATGCCACCAAGCTTTCCTACCACGTTTAAATTGGCTTTCCCTTTATTCAGTGTTCATTTGAGTGTCGTTTTCCACAGTTCTGGCGAAGTTGTTCTTGTCAGTTTTCACTTAGTGTGGTGTTTTGTTTCTGGAGAGAGAAGGGTGCCTGGAGCTGCTTTCTCACCTGTATTTGCAGGTCTTTTACTAGTTTTTAAAAGCTTCCTGTGGGGCTGGGGATTTAGCTCAGCGGCAAAAGGGCCTGCCTGGCAAGCACAAGGTCGTGAGTTCGGTTCCCGGTACCGGAGAAAAACCAAAAAATAAAAGCTTCCGGGGCTAAGGATGCCACTCAGTGTAGACTGCATGCATAATATGTACGAGGCCCTAGGTTTGATCCCTGACACCACAAAAATATAAAATAAAATAAAATACCCAAATCACTGGGCAATGGACACAGTGCCTTACCACCAAGAGACTGTTTTTTGCAAATGAAGTTTGAAACAAGTTTCACCGGGCACTTGGAAAAGCTAAGTAAGGCCAGTGGACCACTGTGAGTCTGAGGCCAGCCTGTGCTACATAGCAAGTTTAAAACTATCCTGGACCCCATAGCAAGACCTTGTACAGTTAAGGAAACTGCTCAAAAATAAAAACAACTGGGATGAGGGAAAAGAGAAAGGAAAAAAGGGGAAAATTATGTATGTATGTATACACAGGATAGCTAACATAGTTGTACTACTGACTTATTGCTCTATTGAAAGGAACAGATAATGTTTAATTGTTTGATCAATCTTACATGTCTATACCTGTTTACCTGAGTAACCAATTTGAGGCTATCAATATGTAATACAACCACCACTGTTAATTTCCTATCACCTTGTCTGAAATTCTGTATTGCTTGTGTTGTTTTTGTGTTATTTTGTAAATGTCTGTGTGTTTGTTGATGTTTTCATTCTTTTATCTTTAAAATAGAAAAAGAAGGGGCTGGGGATTTAGCTCAGTGGCATAGCGCCTGCCTGGCAAGCGCGAGGCCGTGAGTTCAATTCCTGGTGGGGCGGGGGGAGAAAAGAAAAAAAGACCTTGTACAAACAAACAAACAAACGAATAAGTCTTTGTGGATGATTCTAATGAGCAGCATATGTAGCTGCTGAATCCACTGTCTTCCCCACTATCATTTACCACTTCCTCCAGATAGCAAACTGCTTATACTTGAAATGTGTCCGGGTGTGGATTTGTTACTACTTCTGACCTTTCCGTGCAAAGCACATGACCTCTCCTGCCTCCTCCGGAGACCGTCAGACTACCTCTACACCAATTTTGTAATCGTCTACAACTTGCTTGCTAGTTTAACTGACTTGAATCCTTGTGGAAAGTTGTCTCTTACTCACGTCTCCTCCATTAAGGTCGGATACATCATCAGCAAGCATGACGTGAACCACAAACTGTGCCTAATGAGTACTGGCTGCAAATGCATGCAACAATCAAAAATCATTCCTGGGTCGGGGGCTAAAGAAAAACACTTGTACTGCTGATGTCTGACGGGGTGCCGAAATGAACAGTTAATGCTTACAATTTTTTATGTTCTGGTCGACATCGCATGCTTGTGTCTGGTGGTCTGAGCAACTGACTTGAAGGTAACAATATGCAATGGAATTATAATGGTAAACGCCTACCATCTTGTCTCTATATAATCTCTGATGTTTTATAGAAGAATTATTTTCTTATTCTCCTTAGTGGTTTGAGTAATCTTTCATTCTTACATCTGAGCAATGTAGTTGAGGATAGTGATATGTAATGTAACAACCTCTGTTGATTTGTATTATTTTGTCTTGAGACCCTGTATCACTTTGAATGTTCTTGCTCAGATTTGTTTATGTTTGTGATACTGGTATGCTGCTACTGTTCTATTTTTTTGTTTGCTTATTTCTCATTTACTAGTCTCTTTGAAATAAAAAAAAATAAAGTGATAAAGAAAAACACTAAAAATCTCCTGCCTTTCATTTGAAGCATCATTCCCGCCCCCCGCCCCTATGGCAACATAAGCGCCAGGAAGGGTAACTAAAGGCTATAAGCACAAACCACAGTAAGTCCTCAGCCTGGAGGTCCCAGTAGTGTGCTGAGCGAAAGCCCCACCACATCTCCAGTCTTCGTCTTGCTGTGCTGAGATGAAGGTGTTCGCCTGCGACAGCCCCAGGCAGGGCTCTGTTCTCTTCTCTTGGCCTTAACAGCGACTGCTCCTTTTGCTCCTACAATTGGAGCTGAGTCGCTTCTCCCTGTCATGACTTGTGTCACCCCAGGTGGCGTGCTTCCCAGTCCACTGGTGACCCAAGAAGTCTGGTAGCTGTGGCTTTAAGTTCCTTGTACCTGTGAAATCTTAGCCTGTTCAGGCTGCTAAAGCCGAATACCAAAGACCGAGTAGCTTATAGACAATGAGGAGCTTATAACCTCCTGCAATTCTGGAGGCTGGGAAGTCTAAAATGAAAAAAGCAGCAGATTAAGTCTTTTTTTTTTTTTTTTTTTTTTTGGTAGCGGGATCGAACTCACAACCTCGCACTTGCCAGGCAGGTGCTGTGCCACTGAGCTACATCCCCAGCTCAAGATCTGTTTCCTAGTTCATAGAAAGCTGAAAAGTCCATCCTTACATGGTGGGAAGGGCAAAGGAACACTCTGGGGTTCCTCCTGCAAGGCCACTGATCCCATTCAGGGGAGTTCTGCCCTCATGACCTAATCACATTCCAAAAGTCCCACCTCTTAATACCATCACGTGAGAAATTAGGATTTTGACATGAAAGTTTAGGGGACACAGTCTGTTGGGTATGGATCCAAGCATGACCTCTAGCCACTGCTTTTAAAAAAGTTGTTGACTTAAGTATTATTGTGGCCTGGTGTAGTGGCATGTGCTCATAGTTCCAGCATTCAAGAGGCTAAGGTAGGAGGATCTCAAGTTCAAAGCCAGCTTTGGCTGCATAGTTCAAGGCTGGCCTGAACTATATAACAAGACCCTGTCTCAAAGAAAAACAAAAAGTATTATTGTATCCCAAATAGAAACAGCGGGGCTGGGGATTTAGCTCAGCGGCACAGTGCCTGCCTGGCAAGCGCAAGGTTGTGAGTTTGATTCCCCGTACCAGAAAAAAACCCAAATAGAAGTGGCCCTGGATTCTCAGATTTTTATACAATCTAGCATTTAAAATGCCCTCCAGTCTCCTAACTCTTGACCATGAGAAAATCTGAGCCTGCTTGTGTTAAAAATGCTGATTCCCACCATCTTCCCACATGTTGCTCCTAGCTCCAAGTTCACCCATGGATTTTAATCTGTGGCACAAGCCTCAGATGATTCTGGTGTGGGTTGTTCATGGGAAACACATTACTAATTAGTGTCAGCATTGTTTACCTGTCGCCAGCTTTCTGAGCAGGTTCCAATCCACCTGAGTCTCTACCTGGTTTGCATATTTATTTATAATGTTACCTGGAAAGTTTACTTTTTATTTACATTGTAAATTATAACAAAGGGAATACTTATTCTACTTTATGGGATGAACTGCTGCCTGATTCCAAAATCAAAAGTAAAGTTAACTGAGAGCTTTAAAAAAAATAGGGATGGCCATTTGGCTCAGGGGTGGAGCCTTTGTCTAGTATGCACAAGACTCTGAATTTAATCCTTCCACCACAAAAAGTAAATAAATAAAAGTAATATGCAGCTTAGTTAATAAAAATCAAATCTCTGTCGCAAGATTTATAATAAAATTAACATTCCCCTTTCTTCACCAGATGCTCCATTCTTCCCACGGGTAGCCAATTTCTCTTTCAATCTTTCTTTCTTTTTTTTTTTTTTGCTATGGGAAATTTAACTCAGGGCCTTCATTGAGCTCTATCACCAGTTCTTTTTATTTAAATTTTGAGATAGGGTCTAAAGTTGTTAAGTAGCTGGGCTGGTCTCAAACTGCTGATTCTCCTGCCTTAACCCCCTTCCCTCCCACCACATACTGGGATTCCAAGCATGTACCATCAAGCCCAGGTTCATCTTTTAATTCTCATGGTGTTTATTTTCTTACTCTACTATTATGTTAACTACCTCCTATGGTTTGGAAGTGATTTAGATCTGACAAAACTCATATTGAAATTTAACTGCCAGAGTAGCAGTAGAGAGAGTTTAGGTCAGGGAGGAGTAGAGAATGGTTTAGGTCAGGGAGGCCTGCCTGCATGAGAGGATTAATGTAGTTGCTGTGAGAGTGAGTTGGTTGTCATAAAAGTGAGTTGCTGTACAATGTTTGACCCTTGTGTGTGTGTGTATGTGTGTTCCTGGGAATAAAACCCAGGGTCCTAGTAAATGCCAGGCAAGTAATTTGCCATTGAGTAACATATCCAGGCCTTTTTATTTTCTACTTAGAGACAGAGACTCAATAAGTTGCCCAAGGATGCTCCCAACTTGTGCTCCTTCTGCCTCAGCCTCCTAAGTAGCTAGAGTCACAGGCATGGCATGTGTCACCCACCACATCTGGCACATCTGTACCTTTCTGGACTCTCTGCCTTTTACATGTAGCCACTTGCTCTGGAACTCCCCCCCCACCGATGTCATGCTACAGTCCAAAGCCATCACCACATGTGGCCACCCAGTGCTAAACTTTCTCCAGAAGCATGTCTAAATAAACCTCTTTTCTTTATAAATTACCCAGCTTTGGGTATTCTGTTATGGCAACAATAAGTGAACTAAGCCATTGCTGTTTATTATTTATTCTATTTAGACCTTGTCATCCTCTCCCAATAATGGATACGGACACTGTTCACTTAGTTCACTGTTGCTGCTCTCCTAGTTTTTGTTGCTTTATATTTGTTTCCTCCATAATATCTTTGTATCTTTAGAAGAATCTGCATAAGCCTATATTTCCTCTCCCATCACAGTTAGCCTGTCTTAAGTGCCCCCTTTGTAAGATGATGTTTACTTCCCCACTTCCTCTCCACCTCTTCTTTCCTCACCACGTTCCAATCTCTGTAAGCTTTCAAGGTCAGTGCCATTTTTATTATTTATAATAAAATTATAATTAAGTTTAAAAGGTTCTCCAGTCTGGGACTTTATAAATGCAGACAATAAAGAGGATTTAATGAGTGGGATTAGTATGGAATGAGAATCAGGTAGTTAACAATTCAAGTACACGTGACTTCTTGCAGCAAAATCTTTTAGGCCTTCCATCTGTATTTAGAAATGGTGAAAACTTTAACCAGGAAGGTTTAATTGTCATAAATTTTCCTTCTCTCATTGTGTGGATTCTCTCAACTCTCCCTATTTTGGGGGGGGCAGTGAGGGGATGAAACAGGGTCTCATTTCTCATTATGTAATTCAGGCTGACCTTGAACTCACAGTGTAGCCCAGGCTGGCCTCAAACTTATGGCCATCCTCCTGCTTCAGCCTCATGAGTGCTGGGATTAGAGGTGTGCATGACCACCTGGGTTTTGCCTCATGTATATTGGTGCTGAATGCCTGCTGTTCCTCATAGCTGAACCCAAGTTGCTTACTTAACACTTTTGTCACCTCTCTTGGCTCCAGATTTCAGGTTGTAGTAATAGGTTCCACCTGATGGGTAGGAGTGTCTTGCTTCCTCAGAGGGGTGGATAAAATACCTGATTTTGACTTTATATAATCCAAGGAGGCTTCTTTCTTTAATTATGTATATATGCTCTTCTGTATTTTAATACTGACACTTCTAGTGGATATACAGTACAGTACGTGCTGTGCAGCTTATAGTTTACTATTCCATATTTCCTGTTACTCTCATCTGAAACATTAGCTTCTTGGAAAGGCTTGCTTCTTGTCCCAGTCCTGGTCATTCTCTGTCCCAGGCCCTTGTATGTGTTTTTGACTTTCAGGCTCCTAGAGTGTGTGGTCCAAGTGAGCAAGGACTTTATTGTTCTCTCCTTGCTCACCAAAACTAGAGCAATGACTGCTGTGGAGTTGTTACCACAGTTTTAGGGCCAAAGCCCCAACTCTGAGGTTGCAGTAGATCAGTATGAAAATGTCAGTCAAGGAGATAAACAGGGGTGAAGGGCAGGAAATGAGTTTTTTTATCTGTATCTGCTCTAAAGTCACTAAGCATGGTTTTCATTGTGGACACCATCTCTGCAGTTATCTGAGAAATTATTTCTGATTTGATTTTTTTTTCTAGAGCCTCATTCAGTTGCTTTGTTGTTACCACTTCAGAGAGGCCAGGTGGGTGGCTTTTGGATTGTCCCATCTCACTGTCCCCTGGGTGTCTGTGGTTGCATGTTGTTTAAGTGTCTTCTCATTTTCTTTTTTTAGTTTAATTCCTGGGTTGACGCTTGTAAATTGCCTATGGCGGAGTGCTTTCTTGCTAGTATTTAGAATCCTTAGGAAGTGACTACTTCTCCAAGGTATCTTCCAGGTGTAGCTGGTTTTGGGGTTTTGAGTCTGTTGCAGGATCCTACCTCTTCAATTTCTTGGGGATGAGAAGTTAGTGACTGTTTGCCCCAGTCCCTGGTTCTTTGGCACTGTGCCACAGTATTTTCTGTAACCCTTAGTAAATCTCAGTCTTAGAATACCAGGAAGAACAGCTGTTTAGAACAATTATGTCACTTTTGGCTG